GATGAAAGTAATTTATTCATGCGAAAATGTAAAGCGTCCTCCAGGAAATTGCCTAAAACCTACGAAACGGCTATTCATAGTATGGACAATCTTCTTGAGAGCGCTCTCCCACAGTTGATCCTTGTGGGAAGATGTGGCGAGAGTTGGCTCCGTGATGATTATATGGTCCTCCACCACGAAGAAGCCAATGATTTCATCAAGATAGTCCACGTAGTGTTTCAGGGAATTCATCTTAAACAGGGCTGAGTAATGCTCTAGCAGTATTGTGAGCGATTATGAAGTAACCTTGGATGGTGGCTCAATGACGAGATCACACTGGTCTTTTCGTTGTTGACGATAATAAACATCAAATTCTTCCTTGGCCCCTAATACATTGAAAATCTGGCAACACCTGAAACAGTCATTTTCAGAAGAGATGACCAGTAGGCGCAGTTTGGCTTGGTGGGGGTATTTTGGTGGTTGCCTTCGATCACAGCCGATGCCTGCTTTGGAGACCTGTGAATACCCGTATAGCGATGTATTAGCAGGAGCTCGGCACACACTTGACAGGAGTCAACAAGTCCCACCCAATTGAAACATATAATTCAACATTAACTAGCAAACAAAAGCGCGCTTCTCCCCATAAACCGATAAACCGAACAGCCCCCATTATCGTCAATAAACGTGAAGTATACCTGTGAACAGGAGTGAAATCAATGAGGTCTTGAGCTGATACTTTCTCATCATCCTGAAATAGGGATATCTCAGCGAATTCGAAGCGAAACGCCGGATGACGATTTAATAGAGGCGCAATCTAATCAAAACTGATGGAGAAAAACATACCTCAAGGCTCTCCGAGGTTTGAATAGGAGCTGCTCCGTTTGAGGTGTTCTTCCGCAGTAGTCGCCCATCAGCAGAAACAGCAATTTCCACATCAACAATCTTTCTAGAAACACAGCTGATGTGAAAAAATAGAAGTCATTTGCGAGATCCACGTTACGGCAACTATCAAACTAGTATTCCACAGCTAGCTGACTCGACTACTGTAACACATCTACCTCATAGTAACAGAAGAGTTTTCATAACAGCGCCATTGGAGAATGACAAAATCAGAGGGGGAAAGCAACTTATGAGAAGACTTTGTGCTGAACATTGGGCGTTTTGGGAGAACTTGGGAGCTCGGTGGATAGAAGAAGAGCATTAGAACGAATTGGTTTCGCTGACTCCGCTGAAGTGAAGACCGCGAAATCGATTCTTCGACTTTTCGGGATTTTCGAGGTATCCGATTCCCCATCTCTCCAGCTGCGCTGCAGAAATGGAGAATACAGGCTAGACTGTAGATCTCCACCCAAGCATTTTGGAAATCGGAGAATTGTAGGGCTGGGAAGTGGGAGAATCCGCGGATACTATTGATGTCACTGTGACTGCCTATGTGGAGAAGCGTTGAAATCGATTCGTACCCAGTGACTTTCATGAACTCTGCAATCCTCCAACTCGCCGCTCTCTATGAACACGGCCTTGTGATCTGGTGCAAATAGCTCGCGACGTAAACGGCACTTGTTGAATGATGCCTCAACGCGTGGCCGCAACGCGGACATTTTAATCGGCACACCAGTCAGAACACAACAAGATGAATTCACTCCAAGGACAAATCAAATCGGAAAACGTGAAGTGAAAAAAGGGAGATGACAAGAGAGAAAGCGAGAACAGTGGACTTTAGACCTCGACCTCGCTAGACCCTATCATATCCCTGTTGAAATATTACTCAATTTTCGGCCCCTACCGCTGGCGATTCGGCATTAGACAAGAATGTAACGTACTGCTTAGCCTCTTGTTGTAGTCTACGTGCTCTCTCCGCTTCACTGACACCGAAAGAGTGCTGCTCGGCGGTCTGAATGCAAGTATTTAGTGGTCCACACGTAATGGTTGAATAAAAAAACGTACACATCTACTGGCATGCCTTCCAATCCTACATGCAACCTTCTTGACATTTTCGAGGAAAGTCTTTGAATTCTGAATATGCCTGAAAGAGATATCATCAAAATAATGGAAAGAATGGAGAATAAGGAGCTTATTGAGGTTGCGGATACTTACAAACCTTAGCTTTAATCTCGTTGCGTACCGGAGCCATGGTCTTCGCTAGAATCTGGGTAAAGCGATACTTTTCAACTAGAGCTAAGTGGGTATGTTCAAGTTCCTCCAAGACCTTCAAAGCTTGGTAATACCTGTAATAATCAGAATCAAATGGTCAATTTCTCGAAATTCAAGACGAGATCAGTGCTGAAATGGTTACTTTTTAAGTTGCATAAGTTCCTGTAACTTGGCATAATTTTCCAGTACCGGAAGACATACTGATATCTGGTCGATAGCAGTGGAGGCATTCTTCACCAGTTTTCTGAAAGAGAGAAAGCGTGCTGTTTGTGCCAACAACAAATAACCACAGCACATCATACTTCGCTCCCGATCGACTGAGTCGCGCGATCGCGAAATGTCAACGCGCTCAGACCAAATTGCTCAGTTAGCACTCGAGAACCGTGAAATTAGAAGTTGAAAACGCCCTCAATTTTTATGAATACTGAGCATTCATAAAAATAGAGGGCGTTTTCAATTTTTTCATCCACGCATTTACATGTCCCTCCATTGTGTACGTCGTTCCTACTCTACTCCATTTTTATGTATTGGCTCAGAATCCAAGATTCAAGGTAATGAGATCACCACCTTTTTCGAAGTTGGAGATCTCATTACCTATACCATCACTAGAACAACCCTCCCTCAGGTCACAGCGCTGTGGAGATTTGTCGTTCGAGATGACTCGAGAATGCAGTTCCGCTTCTTCTACGGCATGAACCAAGAATACAGGGGGGGGGAAGACATTTCGACCGAGTCACATATCAGCAAAGTTTTCGCAGCCCAGACAGAGGACGTGGATACGAGTACCAGGGCGGAAGATACCCAAGATGTTCCTCGATAAGCAGGAGCTGGCTCTCGCCCATCACCTTCATGTACACCAAAATATGAAGTCATCTCCAGTCGCAGCCTGACTGGAGAAGACCTTTGGAATTCATGTCACCTCCAAACAGCTGCGAAACTTCTAGTATGGAGTCACCCATGGATAGCTACCTGGAGACCAGTACTCTCGATCTGGATGACCTCCAACATCGAGCAGCTCCGACAACGTCGCCACGGTCTAGGACATCATCTTCACCACAGTCGCCAAGGCGCGGGTTGATGGTATGGACCGGACGTACCTGGAATGGAAAGACCAATATTTTCTTCGTGGACCCCGGACTGAAGGTGAGCGGCGGTTACATCGAGCAACTCGTGGAGAAAATGTCCTCCTCACATGT